TCATAAGCCACTCACGGACCCACATGTAACAATATTTCTATTATTATTATTTTTTCTATTATATTCCTGTTGTCATGGTGTTATTCGATCACGAATTGACGAACATCATCGTCATTAAAGCTTTCCAGTTGTTTCTAGAATCAATAGCCTGGTCCACATCTAAATACTGTCGACAATACTTAAGGAAATGTTGGTTTCGCTCCTTAAGCCAAACGAAACTATTGCCAAAGTAATTGCCAAACATCAAGATTTTTGCTGGTTATTATCATTTGTTGTGCATGTATTGTCTTTTTATAAAAAAATTAGCCTTTTCACATTCCTTATCGATCACGAAGTCACATTCATAACAATCAAAAGTAACGACCGGTTTCTTCCATTTTCCTTGAGAAGGCAATACATTCACAACAAATAATGAAAACCAGCAAAAACATTGATGTTTTTCAATTACTTAGGTAATAGTTTCGTTTTGTAGCAATAGCTAGATTTTTCTGTAGGGTACCCTTTTTCTCGTGACAATGTTTCATCTCAATATTCTAATTTTGTATAAATGTATGTAGATACTTTGATATTTACCTGCAATTTTGTTTGTTGTGTTGAAATAATGATTAAAAGTTCTTTCTTGGTATACCTTGATTAAGCATTTTTGTTTTATAGGTTTCATCCAGTAGTATGTCTACCAGATTTCCGAAAACAATCAACTTTTACACTTTGACTTTGAAGTTTTTACTGCATATGTTGAAGCCATGTGGAGTATTTGCGCCCGCGATTCCTAGCCGCCATGACCAGCGTCATGCATTTTCCCCTATGCTTATAGCTATAATAACTTAACCCATAGCTAGAGCAGTACCGTATGAAAGATAAAATAAATGGAGGACACCATTGAAAATGGGATTGTTTATTGCAAAGAGAGATTTTTGACCCAAACACCAAGATAATAGGAGCTACGGCCCTAGTACCAACAATTCTAGAGCACGGGAAAGCCTTCTTTTTAACCTTCGCTCTGAATACGCTAGATATGTTTGAAGCTGATAAGGTTTAGACGTAAGACAACGTAGGTTCCAAATCTTTGATTGGCTTAGCGACCAAAATTCTACATACCACCAAACCAATCAGAATTCTGCAAACAAATCAGAATTCAAGAATATGACAACAAACGTGCCTCGCAGCTAGATTTAGGCCTATTTTGGAAGTTTTTACCACTACCAACAAAAAAATAAACGTGTAAAATGTGCTGAGAGATTGTGTTAATTTTTATTACGAAAAATCGAATCTTTGATAAATTTATGAAAAAGACAGCCGTTGTATTCAATAAAAATTTTCCGTGATCGTTAGTTACGAAGGCTTGAAACTGTCCCTTTCAAACCCTTATAAGAATTAGGAGGGAGGGATAACATAACGATTACAGTTTTTAATCTTTAAAAGTTGTTTTATCAACTTAATCAACAAACATTAACTTACATTTACAAGCCAATATCAAAATCTATTCTTGTCGGCATTGATGCTTGTGTTACTGACGGAAAAAGTCGCTAAAATGCACTGAGAGAAGGTACAGTCCATCTCTCTCTTAGAATAACTGCAATTGCATAATTTCTTTTGCACTCAGGTACTTTGTATATTCATTTTGAAGACTTGAAGATCGATGAGAAGCTCACGTCCACTGATGTTATTTTTTACGGGGGGGGGAAGGAGGTGGGGGGAAGGGGGGGGCTCTCTCTCGATTAGTTTACCTACTTATAGAGAGCTCCTCCTTAATCAGTCAATCTTAAATTCAATCATGTCAAGTAACTTGTTTCATTTGTTTTTAGTATTGTTAGTTTTTAGTTCTTAGTGTTGTAATGTATCTTAGTTGTAGAGTTTTGTGTATGAATTGTATTTAGGATTGATTGATAATGAATGAAAAATGAAAATGAAAAGAACTGCTACGGCCTTGTAAATGCTGTCGCAATTCGTCGACAATGAAAAGGGTGGCAAAATGAAATATGCATCATGTCTTCTTAGGAAAAAAACAAACGTTAAGGTGTTTGTGTTTAAAGGTGTTCGTGTTTGAAAACTCTGTCTTCTTAGGAAACAAGCAAAACATGGCGCACATTTTCATGCATGAACCTTAGAGAACAAAAATCGAGGACTGGCCTAAGTTTCTGCCATAACGGTCTGGGCCTGGCCTACCTCAAAACCCGGCTAAAACTAACCTGGGCTTGGCCCAGGTTTTCCGCGTCCAGAACAGATCAGTGGTCCAGACCTGCCTGGACCACGCCCACGTGACAGTAAACCCGGGCTTGTTTGCATAGTGTGGCCAGGGCTTAACACTCAGTCCTCACAAACTGCAAATCTTTCGTTCCAGGAACTCAAAAAAGAAGTTCTAGCGTCAGTGTTTCTAAGCAAAACCCTATGAAATCAAGGGTAAGGTTTTAAGGTCAAACAACTGGCTACTGCAATATAGATGCTAAAAACCCCAAATGCACTTATTTATAAGCAGTCCGATCTCACTTCCTATTGTTGCTAAGCAACTACAGTATCCCAAATAGCTAGCAGAATATTTTATCTTTTTTTGAAGATTACGTATCTTGCAATACGAGACAGTGATTGTCTTGCTTCAAATAACGAATGCACAAAGAACAAGGGAGGAGGGAGTCAGTAGAACGTTTAACGATAAAATGAAATGATAAAATATCATGACATTAATTATATGTTGCACGGGATCCATCCTCTTCTTGTAGGGGATCCTACTACAGGTTATTTTAAGCCCTTGATTTGCTGACAGAGAGGGTAAGAAGAGGGACCGTTTATTTAACGCAGCTCAGATAGACGGGGGGGCGTAAGTTAATGGAGCCGTTAAAAACGTTAGAAATACGTTAGAATTATCATAGCTTTCGAGGCAAGTTGGAATGCGGGGGGG